ATTCATTAAGAGAAGGCACCGAGAATAACCATTTCATTCACATCAATGGTGACATCCGAACAGAACACACTGGGAGGAGCAAGGATTAGAAGGTTGATAATGGTATTAGGTTTGACTGAGGTGTCTCGACTTTAGTTCTCTGAAAATATACAACGTTGGTTCTTTGTCATAAAGTATTCAGATATTAGAATAAATCCTTTCAAAATTCTTTTTCATGTAGGCTAAGCCAACCTTAACAAATTTTCAATTTTTGTTGTCTAATATATGTGATATGAGTGGTATCGGATGATCACCTATCCAGAACCTGGCTGAACTAACATGTATGTTTTTTTCAATTTATTTGTAGGTCTCCTTCAGAGAAGCAAAAAGTTTGGGGCATGCTGCAATTGGAGATCGTTAACTACTCTTCTGTTCGTCGGACAGACCGGCATGCGTGTAATCCAGTCCTATCCGACTACAAGTTATGGCATTGTATTAAGGAAATAGCAGATCTGCATCTTGCAAAAACATTGGAACATACATTGAATGCAAAGATAATGTACTTCCAACAATAGGAATTGTCATAAGACAACGAAACATGGTTATATGGGAGTCATGTACTGCTCGAATAATACATAGGGCGGAACATCAGTCCGTATGACGATACAGATAGATGTCAATAAATAAGGCTAATAGCGGGAAACAAGAAGATGAATGAATCGTTAAGACGTAGAAGTCTATGTGCCTCTTCATGTGTGTGCCAACCAGTAATCAAATCTATGTTTTGACATCGAACATTGGCTGAAGGACGTAAACGTAGTGTAGCAGTCGAAATGTAAATGCTCTACAATGTAAAATTTACAAAATTTAAATTTCTTTTGTAGAACAACATGGTAAATCATTTAAGCGTCCTTTATGGCTATGACAGCCAATAAAGATATGGAAAATTTACTTGATGAATTAAAAAATAACAATTGAAATTAACTATATACAATAACCTATTTAATGAATCTACTAAAATTTCAATATAGTTAGCAAGAAAATGTTGGAACCCTTGCTTCTCAAATTAATCAACTAAGCATTTAAATCACCTTACTAGAGAATAAAATGGGTATTGTAAGTTTAAGCAAGGAGAGTTATCGCCCTATTATCATACCATCTAATATAATTGCACGCAAACCTATGTCTGATTCCAACTTGTGTCTACTAAATATGATTTCAATTTAACTTATAAAATTTGTCAGATCAAAGGTTATTCTTCAATGTGCATATATTTGTAAGTGGAAGAGTTCAATAATAAGTATTTATATTTAGTAAAGTTTCCAGAGTTACTGGTTCAAAGGACGCAATTACTCAATTTTTATAATATTTATCGTATTTTTAGCTTGCCAGTTTCTGTTAACTGTTCTTTCTACGCAATTGCACAGTCCGATTTTAGATTCCCGTATGTACTTGCTATAGAATTCAGACGACGAGTATTAGTATGGCGTCTGAATTAATGCTTTACGAGAAAATTGGTCATGGACTAGTAAATCACTGCTTATGAAAATCCATTTAAACACTTTAACTTCCGCAAGTTTTGACTTTCATATTTAGCAATGGAAAAGAACTCATACATCTCTCTGGTAACTTTAGATTGTTCAAATCGTTATTAACCAAAATTAATTGAGTTAGATTCTAATGCATTTTATTATATAGGACGACCTTTGTCCTATAGAATCAAGATCACCTAAAAGATAAAGGTGTGAACTTTGTATAATGAGTTTCTCTGTCAGAATCTGTGTCATGAAGCGTCACACATTTACTCTTGCCAACAGGAGGCTATAGTGCGTGCCACATGATGAAACAAATGATATCTTTATTGCTCTATTTAATCTACTATACGCTTACAGAATTCTGGGAACAGAACTTCCATGATGAAATATTTGGCTGACTCATTATTTGGGCAAACTGTTAAGTGTCGCCTCCTAATTCAAATGTGTTTGAAATAAGATGCACCTGTTGTAGGCAAAATGAATGCTAAAGCAATTTAATTTATCTAGAATGGTTGATTTAGCTGATACAACTGATACTGTGTTTCAAATCCGTTAAATGAACATCTTAGTGGACTCTAGATATAGGAATCTGAATGGCAAACTTAAATCTATTTAATATTTTCAACCATGTTACCGGAGGTACTGTACATTTGTCTTGTAATTAAGAATAAGAAACATCTGGTTAAAGTGACAATATCAAAAAGTTCAAACTGCAAGTGCTACCCACTCCATCCTCTTTATTTACAACTAATCCAGCCTAGCCGATGTTAGCTCCTGCAACCATTGAATATCTGATATTGACGGGAATATGCCTATTAGTTTGTTAGTCTGCTTGCATTTTGCATTGTGTCCTTTTACAGGTTGTTAAAGAAGCCTATTGATATCGAAACATTTTAATGCTATGATTAACAACATGCGAGCTTTGTATCATTGCGTCCTGTTTTGTCCTGTACCGTCTTTGGTCCGCTTTCTGTAAGATCAGGGGCAAACCACTGAGACATATCTCACTTTCAAATATGTGGTGTCATGGTAAAAAATGAAAAAAGGCTGAATTTTTCATCGGCTGATTTTAAAGTATTTGAAGAAATTCAGGAAATAGTAGGTCTTAACTGATGCCTGATAGCGGTAACTTTATTGAACTTTCTATGGCAAGTCTCAAAAGTCGTAAAATGATTACGAGAAATCTAGTCTTTTGTATAATGTGAATGAGCTTCATTAAACATAAAGGCCACCCATATTGCGTGTGACGAAGTGAAACGTTCGGGTCCGTAAGCTTTTGACCTTAGTCCAAATTGGGTAAGTACAATTCTAGGTACAATCTTTGCATCTGGCCTCAAACTCTATAAAAAGTGTGTAGTATAAACTTTAATGACATAGTGGATGCTTGTTATATTATATATTCTTTGCATGTTGTATGATGTATATAGGTATTTTTGTATGTATTGGGTATCCTTACATACACATTTATTTTCACCTCTTAAATATACCTGTTTTAATAAACATTGTTTTTTTTCTGATTTCATGTTCAATTTGGGGGGCCCAAAAGTTAAAGGGGTCCGGAGCATGTATTATGATGTTTATTTTCTGGATGTAGATAATTAATTGCAATTCGTTTTCTCATTGTATAGATCATAATTTATAAAATATGTATATTAATATGTGTTTTTTTTAAGAATGAAGACATAGTATTTGTGATTTTTATATCATTCAATACTGCTTTTAGCAATGTATAAGATATGTAATATTTATGTACTGGGTGCTATAGTTAATATTACTTTCTTAAAGTAGAGATATTATAGTTTTTTTCACCTATAAATAAATTTTAGATTTTTGTTCACTGCAATGTCCAACAATTATTATTGTTAAGAATTGATACAAAACAAGGATGAGAATCCCTAAAAAGGTAGATAAGTGATAAAGATTTCTTACAACTGTCAATGTTACTCTAAGGTGACACCGAAGTGATAATTGAGATCTTTAAAGCTTTGGCCAATAATCTAATAATAGTAATATAATATCCTGTACAGGCAAGCCTGGGTGTTAAGTTGTGACGGGACAGGCCAAGAAAAAGATCAAATAAATAAGGGTGATAACTGATAATTTAATGCTTTCAAATTGGAGGACAAGAATCTGGCTCGTATTTTCACACGCTTTTGACACTAAAGCGCAGATTCCTTGTTAAAGTAACCAGACTTTTCGATGCGTCAAACATCACATCAGACTATTATACCAAGTAATTAAAGTTGTATTAAAATTATTTGGGATTTAGGAATTTTATAATTTGGATTGCCAGGGTAATTATGTTTTATCATTTTCGTGTGTATAAAGGTTTTTATTATATGTTTTGTTAAACTAGAAACCTTTTTTGGACCTTTATATACCATAAAATAATATCCTGTAAGATTTATCTTTAGGGTTTCAATACTTGTAGTAAGGTTATTAAGTAAGATCTTTTCTGAATATGTAATATACATATATATATTCTTGTAAAGCATGAGTTTTTTGAGATCTTGGATCGTGCTATTGATTTTTGTACATTCCCACTTTTGATTTAAGTAATTAAATTTGATGCATTATTAGTAAAATTTAAAGTAATTTTAAGTTTAGTATAATAAGTTCATGAACAATAATTAGATAATTCCTACCAGTTGTAATATATCAATTTAACATTTTAATTATTTTTTATAACGTTTTTCGTTGTTTTATTTTTACGAAAAAGCATCATTTAAACTTATTTCTGTACAGATATTGTAGATTAAGCTAAAGTATTTAAATAAGTATATAATGGCACGTTTATAAGAATAGAATGTTAACTGAGATTGCTTCATTTTTAATTGTGTTATTCTGTTAGCTAGGGCTATATGTCGACCAAGATCTCGGTACAATTCTCTCACTGCCAAGCAAGTGAATCTATCAATTGTTAAATCAACTTTGCTTTTCCCCAATGTTTTATGTAGCAAGCGTGTGTTAAGCTTTACATGTATTTAATTGTGTTTTTAGTTTGATATTTTAAAATTGAACAATTGACCTTCTTTCATGCAATTATTTTATAACTATAACAATTCCTTGTGTTTTAAAATATATTGCATATACAACATTCACCATCAGACTATTATACAAGTAATAAAGTTGTTATTTAAAAATTATTTGGATTTAGGATTTTTATATTTGGATTGCAGATCCCCATATCCCGTGCAAAAGCACGTTATAATACAATGTTTGACACATAAACATGATGGTAGCCAACCAATTTTCTTTGTGCATAGAGGATTTCACCTGAAACATTTTATAGAGCTTCCATGCACTAGTTGTAAATGAAGTCGTTTACAGCAGTCTGCAAGTGAAGATATAGCACTTATAACACTATTTTGGAGGATAATGCCGCTTCAAATAGGCATTATATACAAACCATGCATATGGAAGTTTACATGATGTACTTTATAGGGAACATATAGGGCTACCTAATTGTAACATTTTCTGTTATAGGTGCTGTTGTTTGCGTGTATTGCTTCGGCAAAGGCGGCTAAAAATTGCGATAAGAATTTTCCAAATGTATGAATTTTTATTTACTTTGTCATTTTAGATTTTTTAAATATAAAGTTTTCATGTTTTACAGTAAATCTTCTAATATTTGTATTTATATCAAATTTCCACTAATTTAAGATTCATTTAATATTTATGCTATATATTTGTATAATTAAATGTGTTCTTAAAAATGAAATGATGAATGATAAAGCACAAACCTTGCTAATTATTACGGCTATATATAGAATGGTACAGCTATAAATAGCACATGACGTTTATGAGCTATATATAGAGTATCATTATATAAATTCTTTTAACAGGATTGTCCATCGGGCCAATTTTGTGCACCTCCAGGCAATTCTGAGAATCCAAGTCAATTTAAATGCTTCAACTGTAAGATATTTAATATATGAGCCGCGTCACGACAAAACCAACATAGTGCGTTTGCAACCGGCATGAATCCAGACCAGCCTGCGCATCCGCGCAGTCTGATCAGGATCCATGATGTTCGCTATCAGTTTACCTACTTGTAATAGGGTTGGTAAGCGAACAGAATGGATCCTGATCAGACTGCGCGGATGTGCAGGCTGGTCTGGATCCATGCTGGTCGCAAATCCATTATGTTGGTTTTGTCGTGACACGGCTCAATTATTGTGATCTATTCTACTAAAATAAATACTTCCACAAAGATCGTCTTTGTTTATTCAAAGTTATTATTTTGTTGCCAGCAAAGATAACATTCTTCAGTTAATTTTAATTACCAAGTTATAAAGTAATAATTATGTCTTAGTCTTTTTTATTATTATTCTTTTTGCGTAAAGAAGGTGCAAACAGATGACTATATGTTAGTCATTTTAATTTGTACAATATAGATTTATATAGTAAGCATATACAAACACACTGAAATAGTTCGAGGATTGGCAAACAAGACCAGTGTGACTTATGTAATTTGTTATTATTATTTGTTATGATTTAAGTATAAATTTAAGCACTACAAAGTTTGATAATATTATGTTAAATGACAGATCTTCATATTTCCAGGTCCGTGTAACATTACCCCACAACAATGTTTCTTAAACGGAGATGGCAATGTAGAGTGTGATTGTGCTGGATCAGGATTCACAGGGCCAACGTGTTCAACAGGTAATATTCTGTCTGTTTGTACGAACGACGTGTTTGTATGACCGACTTGTTTGTATGACCGACTTGTTTAAATGACCGACTTGTTTGTATGAACGACTTGTTTGTATGACCGACTTGTCTTTCTATATGCAGTAAGTTCACTTTTTTCCATATATTCTTTTGATTTTTTTTTTCATTTTACAAAAATCTTATATAAATTTGCATTATGCTGTATTGTTTGGCAAATACTCTGGGAGATTTTAAGTACACATTTCAGCCATTAAGTAAACACAGTTTGAATAGTTTGTATTAATACATAACAATCCATAAATTACTTGCATATTTTTAAATAGATTTACTACTTAATATTGTTTCTTTTGTAAATTACAAAAGATATAACTATACAAGCGGTGTCAGAAATGTATGAAATGTCGGCTGTCCGAGTTTTATTTAAGTAATAACAACAAGGGGTGGGGGGTGGGGGTAATAATAGCAATATAGTGACACCCAAGTCAGCCCGAAACAGTGAATCAAGTACGCTAAATGGTTGCGGGCTTACTGCTCAGTCATTATAATGCTATGTATTATTTATCATTTTATATCGCACTGTCCTATAACTAAGCGGTAGAGGTACAAGTAAAGGATTCTTTATACAACAACAACGTTCTTAATAAATGGCACTGTAAACTTTGGGGATGAGCTTATGTAATGCGCGTTTTGCTAAAATTTTCCTCGCGATAAAAACTTAGTTTCCTCTGACGTCATCGTGAATATTATCCTATCTAAAGGCCCACTGACTCTTTTATAGATAAAGAAGCGGTATTTTAGTGTTTAAAGGCCCATTGTGAAATGCTTTATTTCTATTTCTGAAGCTGTTTATTTTTGGTGACCAGGTTTGATTCCCCAAAAGCTACATATTGGTATATTACCTGACCAATCTTGACCTTCTGTTGCTTTTGACAATATATTTAGTATTTTGAATGGAAGTCAAAACGCTACTTTGTTTACATTTCGTTACTTTTATTCCAAATACGGGTAGTTCGTTTCTGGGGCATAAGGTGCCTTTAATCAATTGTATACTTTGTCTTGGTGTCCCGTTCTGCAACATGACTGTTTATAAAGAGACTTTAATAATATTTTATCATCTGTCTTTTAACCTTCATTAGATATTGATGAATGCACCGATGGATCCAACAACTGTAGTGCGAACGCACAATGTACGAATACCCAAGGAGGCTTCACCTGCGCGTGTAACGCCGGATTCAGCGGAAACGGAGTAACATGCAACGGTAGGTGATTACCGATCATATAAACTCACATAATGTTTGATTCATGGGTGTATAAAACATATATGGACCACTTTTTATAATATTTTCAGTCAAAAAGAGGTTATATAACCGCTGTATGTTCAGTGTAAGGCCAAAAAGGCCAGGCATACTTGTCCGTGCAGTCTGACAAGGCTCAATTTGGGTATCTTTATATTCTTAAAAAATAAAACTTTGCATTTTTTAAGCAGGGCAAATGCATTGCATTATATTAATTAGTTATATAATTATTAAAGCAGGGCAAATTCATTATGTTATATTGATTGGTTATATAATTAAAGAAGGGCAAATTCAGTATGTTATATTATTTGGTTATATTATTAAAGCAGGGCAAATTCAGTATATATATTTATATAAATTATTACGTAATACTAGTATAATTATGAAGGTTATATAGATTAAATTGATATTGCCATATATCAAAACATTTATATAAAAAAATGTAATCTTATATACAAAATGTATGTCTTATCACTGTCAATTTACATTGAGGATAGCAAAAAAAAATATTTAGGATATTTCAAACGTGTTTTATTATAAATTCACACTTGCATCCGTGGATCATATTGAATTCTTACTTGGTGATTTTACAGACATCAACGAATGTACAAGCTCTCCATCACCGTGTGACACAAATGCCTCGTGCCAGAATAGCTTTGGAAGTTTCTCCTGTACCTGCAATACAGGCTATACTGGAACTGGGACACCCGGCAACTGCGCTAGTAAGAAAATGATCTTTATCTTCTTTTTAAAAAACAACAACAACAAATATATTTAGAGGTGAAATGTATGCTTTTAGCTAGTTTGCTAACAAATTGTATCTTTTTGCACCAGATTTATTTTCAACAACTTTTTCTTTAAGTTCATCAACATGGAAAACATGTTGTCTGAAAACTTCTATATTTTATGTTATCATTATATGTGTTAAATATACGTTTGACAGTGGTCAATGCAACATCTAACATACATTTGAACTTACAACAATGGCGAAAGTAAAATTGACCAGATTTACTACTGACAACTAGTGAATTCATTGTCAATGCATTAAATAAAGCTAGATACATTTTGCTTTGATTTCTAATCAAGTACATATAGTAAGGATATTTAAATATACAACACGATTAAACAACCATGTATATTACATTATTACATCAACTAATATTTAGTCAATTTTATGATACTTATTCTCGCGCGCAATGATTTCTGGTAAAAAATGTTTCTTCTATCACATTGCAAGATCATGCAAAGTTTAATTTAGAGAATTTATCAAAACGTTTTGAAAATATGCGAAGATGATTACTATATTAGTTATATGAAGGTATAAGTTAACTTTAGTTATTTTTTTCAACAGATGTTAATGAATGCGTCACACTTGATCCAGCCTGTCCTACAGGATACGCTTGTCAGGACACAACACCAGGATTTTGTTGTAATCCTGCTGCTTAAATCCAGAACATGCACCAGGACTATTCCCCGGACAGACACCGCTTCAACACTACCGACATATCCACTGATAAAATTTATGATCTTCTCCCTTTCTCTCTATTTATAACATTTATCTTTATGACTGCATTAAATGCATAATTTCAACAATTTTGTTTAGAATGTTGTAGTAGTAAAGGGATCGGTTTGACGTCCCCCCTTTACTACTTGTTGTTATAAAGTTAAATGTTAAATTGATGTCGACATTGCTTTCTTTATCTTTCCTCAGCATCCAAAAATAAAGTTTAAATCAAACTTACTTCTAGTGTTGTTATTATTAAAGAGACTTGTATTTGACCATTTTAAAAATGACCAGTATTTGGAAAAAGCCAGGAGAATATTGAACGACGACATCTTAAACAAGTATTTATGATATCATTTTTAAGTTACCAATGATGCAATTTCTTGAGTTTGTGTTCCTTGTGCCACCCAAAAGGAGTGACCATACATGACTTACTTACAAGAGGTCTTTATTCGGAGATTACACTGTTTTATTTTTTATCAATGAAGGTTTGTCGAAGAGTGGTCTTTATTTACATGGATGCCTTTATTCGGAGGTGATCCTTAACACAAGTTTGACTGTACACTGACTCTGTAGGAGCGCTTGAAGCTGGAATGTTTGGTAATGAGCCCTGAACCTAGTTCGGCTACATTGGTGACTAAATATCAATTCGGGATGACTAGCCGTCATTCTTAGAGCCCCATGTTTTGGGGATTTCTTTACCCGCCTCCCCCTGTATTGGCTATTAAATCAGAGGTAAACAAAAATAACAAAAAACAACAGCAATATAAGCAACATCGACAACTACAACAAATGAAAACAAAATATGCTTACTCTTTTATCTACCATGAAATATAGATTTTACGTTTCTGACCTTATGTTGTCCTTCACGTGGTGTGTCACGAGCTCGAAGTTAGTTTTTTATACAATCGGAGCCATTATGAAAACATTCCAAATGAAATTATATTTTAACCCTTAAAGTGCTTGAACCGAAAGCATTAGTCCTTTGTCACCAGTATAGAGCCAGGCAAGCCTGCGCGTCCGTGCTGTCTGACCAGGCTTGACAAACTTTAAATATTCAAATTGATATCCCTAAAAATGATAATGGACGGTCCCAAAAATGGAAGTGGTACAGGTCCATTTAAAATATTCAGCATGTTCAGGGTTAATATAAATCTACTCATGGAAGCAACGCAGATGACCTCTTTCCTATAAATCATCAATTTTTTAAAACTTACTTGCTTTGAATTCATTGTACTAAGCTCGCATTTCCTTTCCACCAAACTCCGGTACACTTTGAAATGAATTCCGAATGGTACCGATCTTTTTTTACATTTTCTGTCGTTCATATGATGATACGATAATAATAACGCCGTAAACTAGAATTTTTGAATTATCTCAGTGTATTAAATGATATGCTCTTAAAGAATATGAACCTTCAATAAACATCAACTGAGCGCTTACTTCAAAGGAATCCATAGACTTGTGCCATGCCACAGGCATGCCAAGAATTATTTTTATTTTCATGTTGGGTATTTTAAATGTAACGTGTTACTACATACAATTCTGATCATTTAAAATGAGATCCCTCTGGTGACATGAAAGAAAAAGTATCAAGATAAACATTGCACACTCGGTTTGATTCAAGTGACATTAGGACCATCCAAGTGTAACTGGTCAGTGAGAAGTAAAATAAAAATAACTTTACATTTTCAATGTTATATTTTACAATAAAGAATTAATTGCCACTTTCACAGATGTAACATTTTTCACGCCTCTAGCACTGACTTGAAGTGGTAGTCAGTCTTTAATAATAACTGTGTAGGAGGACCAGAAAAAAAAATAACACCACTGAGCTGAGTGGTAGTGGTGTTGGTAGTTTTCACCCCGGATTACCGCAGTTAGCCACATTGAATTTACCAGAGCACAGTTCAGCCACCGCATCGTTCCTGGACAGGCTGTCAAGCAGTGTGCCAGTACCAGTTGCCTTCAAGTTCTGTAGGAATTTCAATTTCGCAAGGTACTGAAACATCTGTATATACCAGATCAGCGGTACAGTGCGAATGATCGTAGAAAATCTTTCATGATCAATTACAATGAAAGTGACCTGCACGGTACGGGAATCGAACCCGGATCGCCTGTTGTTCAGTCCAACGGTCTACTTACTGAGCTAACCGGTCGGTTCCACTGGGGTGAAAGCACAGGTAAACATTTTATAGGGTTGGTATAAATCTTAAAGGAAGGGGAGATTACTCATTCATGGATCTCATGCATCTGTACCAACAGAATTCCCGCCCTTTACAAGTTACCAATTATCTATACACTAAAAACCTCGTGCTAAAATAACCGTTTTCATATTTTTTTTTAAAAGATCATTACAACAGACATTCATCGTCTTATTAATTAAGTGGTAAGTACATGCATCTCGAAAAAAATCACTTTTACAAGCTATGTAGTATTTATTGAAATTGCCGAAGTTATTATTTGGCACAAAGTTTACAGCTCACTGTTTGTAATTACATATAAAGCAGCATTCATCCAGATCCATGTTAATGTTCATTAAAATTTTGAAATTTATTTAAAAGTTAAATAATATGTGAAATGAACAAAGAAAGTAATTACACATTGTTAATAATAAATAATGTACAATCCACGTAAATGACCTAAAAACAAAGAAACAAACAAAGAAACAAAAACAACAACAACAAAAACAACAAAACAAAAACCAAAAAAACCCCAAAAAAAACAACAACAAAAAAGCAAAAATAAACAAATACAATGTAAAGCTCTTACTGCATGGTTATAAAACCGCAAAATTAGCCATGAATCACATATATAATGTAATGTGTTACGTGAAAACTCTTTTTAAAATCTTAGTACAATTTTTCTCAAGTTTGATTTTCTAGATATATATTGGCGCATCTGAAGGTATGCAGATTTAATAAGCTTAAGGTTGTTATAATTAGATTACTTAGTTCGCATCCCCAAAAAGCAATAATTGCTTACAAAGTCGCACCTGTTCAAAGCTTATGTTTATATGTACTTATACTTCCTTCAGCGTTAACAGTATCATTAAATACCAATAAATTAATGAATTTTATTTTATTTAAATCACTTAGAACAATACAAATTAAATAAGCAACCTGTTACGGCAATAAGAAAGGGTTATATGAGCCGTGTCACGCCCAAACTAACATAGTGCGTTTGCGACCAGCATGGATCAAGACCAGCCTGCGCATTCAGGATCCATGCTGTTCGTTATCAGTTTCTTTACTTGTTATAGGGTCTGTAAGCGAACAGCATGGATCCTGATCAGACTGCGCGGAATCGCAGGCTGGTCTGGATCCATGCTGGTCGTAAACGCATTATGTTGGTTTTGTCGTGACGCGGCTCATATGTCTTTATGTCACATTGAATGATACGTTATGGCCTGTGGGTCGGATTTTAGTACCAACAACTTGTCAATCTCACCGTCCTCCTGATTGACAATCCGTTAACAGTTATTCTTTTATTTCCCCGGTCTTATTAGTGTAACAAAACCTGTCGTCTGCATATTTAGCAATAGGAACGCGCACGCTTTTCATGATTTATCACTTATAGTAAATTTATTTATTGCTCTTGCAAGTTTGAGCATAACGTTACCGCGAAAACGTATTATTTTCTCACCAAATATTTCAGTCAAGGTGAGTGGTTACGTGCTTTATAAATTCACGTGCATTTTGGTAGTGCTTTTTTCCCGCGCTTCACCAATGCCCTGATTATTATTGAGACATACGTTATGGACTTTCGGAGCATATCAAGTTTTGTTAACTCGCCGGGATCTGATAGTTTGCAGACGAACCCTTCCTCACCGCTGGATCAATTCCGTTCTACTACTGGATCGGGGCCAGTGAAGGTATTACTGTATTATTCAATTCAATTCAATTCAATTTAGTTCAAAAGTTTATTGCATAAAGCATTTAAATATAATGCCTATGCAGATAACAATTAAACATTACATGTTATGGAGCATATTGTATTATATTCATCAGTATGATATTACTATTTCTGTACCCTTGTGATTAATTAGATATTTTAATGTTTAACTTGGAACGCTACACGCAGACCCCAATACAAATGCACATGTGATGTAATAAAGACGATGTTCCAAATCGCCGTAAGCAGTCACTTGTTTATAACGGGTAATCTATTACTAGTATAAATTGGCATTCTTAGCTGTTCGTATGATAATATTTTCGAATGTGAAACCGAGAGATCACTAAAATTAATGGTAGTCATATATGGTTACTGTCTTTGAGTTACTTGCCTCTTACCAAAACCTCTTGAACATGTTGAAAGTCCTAGGCTTTCTTAACACCGTGATGAAGCTATCCAGCCATATAAGGGATTACTAGTGGTATAATTTGTATACAAACTTGCAATAATATACAGAGGGTCCATGAGGTAATCTTCCACTTGTAAAATTTTACAGTCCAAATTTAACAGTGACAGCGAGACTTTCATTCATTCAATACTAATGATCATAATAATTAAAATTATAACAACAAAAACAACAACAACAACAACAACAAAAAAAAAACGCTTAGATTAGGTAATTTGAAAGACCCTGGTTAGACTGAACTACATGTACAGTTAATTAGGATAAGTGTCATTTGATGTTTCTTGAATTATTGAATGTTTTCTTTATATATTATCCTGGTAAATGGTTATGTTACAATAAAAAAACGTAATAGAAAAGATGAATTCAAGGGAGACAACAATTAATAAATCATCTAAATCATTTTTGAAAGCTACAGTTCCGCCCCATAAACTTGCATGAAGCCGTTCGTTAATAAACGCGTCTATTTCAAATTTTAGAATAAAACAATAAAAGTATATATATACATGCGTACTTAAAGGCACATTATGCCTCAGAATCGATTTTTTTACCTTTTTAGAATGGGCACTCAAAGGTTTTATAACGTTTGAATAATTGTTTTAGGCCATATTGCCATGTGTTTTACTTGTAAACTGAATAACTGAAGAAAGTAGCGCCAAATGTAAGATTATGTGTCATCAAAGTAGCAAAATGTAAGCAAAGTAGTATTTTGACTTCAATACAAGACACTGAATCACTATAAATGTACTGCAATGTAATTGCCGAAATACAACAGAAAAAAGGGGGGTTCAGATAATTGGCCAATGAGTAAGTTTTTGGAAACTAATAAAGTACACCAAAAATAAAATAAAAAGCTTTTGAGAAATGAAAATAAAAGTATTTCTGGGGGCATAATGGGTCTTTAAAAAGAAGGATAAGATCAGTCTTACAGAGTTATTATTTTCTTTTTAACACTTATTTTACCAGGAAGTGTATGCACATTTATTACACTATTTAAGTAAATTGCACCAATAGCTAAAAGAACATCGTAGGTTACATAGTCTTTATAACGTTATTTAAGTAAATTGCATGAATTGGTAAAAGTACATCGTTCTTTTAAAGCAGATGTCACGGAAGAACACGGTGATTGTCACGTTTTCATAGATATACCAAAGGGATAATGAGACAAATCAGTTGTAAACAAACAGTAAACCATGTTACATACAGTAATAATACATATTCTTGCATATTCATATGTACATAAATAAACTTGACCACATTCATAAAAAAAGTATAAGAATAAACAAGAGGGTCATAGGAATGTAGATATGTCAGTGTGACAGGCACATGAAATAAGGACATTCATGTCATATGGACACACTTGTATTATAAAAAATGAAACATAATACATAAATTCACAAATAAAAAATCGTTTTCGAGTTAATAATAATATTTTCAGGTAGCCTTTGCAAAAATATCTGAGCAAAAGAAACATAGGCATGGTTAAGGGAGGGGCTTATAATGAAAGTGTATTTGTGGACTTATAGGGACTCCACGGAGGTTTTTAGGCATGGCGTGACTGTAAATATTTTTCCAGAGATTTGTAATCCATTTCATGTAAGTTTGAAGCAATAACTTATGTGCAAATTTCAGATCATTTCCTCAGCTCCTTTTCCCAGTATATTCATTTTTATAACGCAAAATGGCGCCAAAATGAAAAGCGTGGCAACGCTTTTCATTCACATTGGAAAAGAATCGTACAAATAGATTTTCATTAAATTTGTTAGTATAGTTTTTTATTACCCTTTCCAGACTTTTCCATATCAGTGCTTCACTCTATCTATTTAAAATTTGAATTTTTTAACTTTTGGCTTTTTGGCCTCAGTTAAGTTCCTTTAATAGAGCGATATATTCTATGCCGGTTGCAACCAAACACATGCCCATGTTTCTTTCATTGTTGTTTTGTTATTTTCCTGATATTCATTTTTTATAAATAAAGATACAGACCAAACCTATTTGTGAGGGATGCCGTAAAGTGATACATGACCGCTGGCTGCTTCGGGTTGGAGACTCGATGTACCACATGTCGTGCCTGCGATGCTGCTTATGTCTTCGTACGCTGGACAGCCATACCTCTTGCTTTGTCAGAGACGAACAAGTCTATTGCAAATATCACTACCAAAGGTGAGCAATCGGATGTTGTTGTTTTTATTCCAAAATGCACATTTGAAGAAATGAGACCAATTGATTTTCAGTTACTCTTAACTCTCTCAGCTTGCCATGTTTTTTCACGCAATTATTGTGAATATTTAACTTAAGAAATTACAATTCAAGATTTTATATAAAACTTGTTGAGGTTCTCAGAAGAGTGTTGACCTTTTAACGACGCGGTCCGTTGCTATGAAAGTGTTTGGATGACGTTGGCAGTGAAACTGTACTGAACTAAGTTGAGAAAACATTAGACTTACGGCTGTTGCCAGTCCAAGTCCAGGCCCGTCACATTTGTTACGTGAAGTATTTTGTTTAGAGTCAGATAAAGTACAGGTTTATTGATAACGAAGTCAAAAAACATAGTGACCTGCGATTTTTCATTTTTTTAGCTCGACTATTCGAAGAATATGAGAGCTATTGTAGTCGCCCCGGCGTCGGCGTCGGCGTCAGCGTCCGCGTCGGCGTCTGCGTTGGTAAAAGTTTTTTGTAAAGTCAAATATCTCAATTATTACTTGAGATATTCAATTGAAACTTACAATACTTATTTATAGTAACAAGGTACATCAGATTGACAAGTTGGATAACTCTGCCTACAATATTGACAGAATTATGCCCCTTTTTAACTTAGAAATTTTGGTTAAAGTTTTTTGTAAAGTCAAATATCTCAATTATTGCTTGAGATATTCAATTGAAACTTACAATACTTATTTATAGTAACAATGTACATCAGATTGACAAGTTGGATAACTCTGCCTACAATATTGACAGAATTATGCCCCTTTTTAACTTAGAAATTTTGGTTAAAGTTTTTTGTAAAGTCAAATATTTCAATTATTGCTTGAGATATTCAATTGAAACTTACAATACTTATTTATAGTAACAATGTACATCAGATTGACAAGTACGATAACTCTGTCTACCATATTGACAGAATTATGCCCCTTTGGAACTTAGAAATTTTGGTTAAAGTTTTTTTGTAAAGTCAAATATCTCAATTATTGCTTGAGATATTCAATTGAAATTTAAAATACTTATTTATAGTAACAATGTACATCAGTTTGCAAAATTGCATAACTCTGTCTGCAATATTTGCATAATTATTTGCCCCTTTGAAACTTAGAAATTTTGGTTAAAGGTTAAAGGTCTTCAAAGATATTTACTTTAAACTTTACACATGCACTTAGGGTCATAATTGGAGGGTCATAATTGTATGTCACTGACCAAGTTCCATAACTCTATCTTGCATTAAGGCTGATTCATATCCCCTTTTCTACTTAGTCTCTTGGTTAATGTTTACATGCAAGTTTTACATATCTCAATAACTATTAAAGATATTTATTTAAACTTCACATATGCATTTAGGGTCATAATTTTAGGTCACTGACAAAGATCCATAATTCTATCTTGCATTTAGGCTGATTTTTCTCCCCTTTTTCAACTTAGAAATTCATGGTAAAGTTTTGCTTGTAAGCTGTTATCTCAATAAGTACTGAAGGGTTGGTGCCTTTTTTGGGACAATTTTATGCATTCATAATAATAAAGCAGTGATTTACTTGATAAAACATCTTAATAACAAGCTTTTCTACCTTTTCTGTCAAATTTATGTATTCATAGGTAATTAGTATTATCATACTCAATAAAAAAAACCTTGTGACATTACCTTCCGAATAGTCAAGCCAATTCTGTATAATTAGACTCTCTCTAAGGCCTATAACATGAATTTAAAAAAAAAAATAGCCCTTTTGTGAACTTAAAAAATTTAACATTATCAAGGCTCTTTTACTATCAAGCACTTAGAATAGTCGAGCGTGCTGTCCTGCAGACAGCTCTTGTTTAGTTTAATCGTGACCATTTATAGCCATTTTTTGATGTTGATAGTCGAAAAATAGTGATGGAAAACAATTTATATGATATTACAAAGAATTTAATAAATTAATTTTGTTATGGAACTTGTTGGCAAAAATGTAACTTGCATATAAATAAAGAAAAAACATCAAAACACTATTTTTTCGTAATGGAAAACTAGTAGTTCCAACAATAATTATTTGACTGCGTTTATAGTTTGATTTTTTTCCAGCCGATTTTGTCCAAAATGTGTTGGTTGTAACGAGCCATTGCTGCCATCTGATTGGGTACGGACAGCGCGTGACTTTATTTACCATTTGGATTGCTTCTGCTGTCATGTATGCAAACGGAAGCTAACCACTGGAGACGCATGCGCAGTTAGACCGGAAGGTGTTATGTGCTTAGATCACTGTGATGGACCATCTACGCCAGACGACGATAATATATCAGGTAACATCATGGAAGACTTGCTAAAAGTTGTGGCATAATTATTGTTATTCTGACCTAATCACAAACACAGGAACTTGAAATTTTATCAATATCAACGATACAATCCAAAAATACCCCTATATAGTATAAATAAACATGATTTATACTACATAGGGGTATATTTTTGATATTATCGTTAATATTGACAGAATTTCAAGTTCCTGTGCACAAACAAAACTTCTACGTTCAACGTTATGGTAGAAATTTTGTACAGACTATCTGGCGTAAAATCAAGGGGTACAAAAGTCATATTGCACGAGTCTCAAGGAAAATTCACCTTTGTGAAATCGAAGTTTAAAACAGATTACTTCTCAAAATTGTTGTCAGTGTTTTGTGTCTTGATCATGGTTTCTTTAGCTATCTAAGTAACATGATCGTTATGTTTAAAGGCCCATAATGTCTCAGAACTGCTTTACTTTTATTACTCAAAAGCTGTTTAATTTTGGTATAACTGTACTTTTATAGAATCCAAAATGATACTCATTGGCAAATTACCTGAACCATCTTTTTAATTTGTTGCTTTTTTGAAAAGTATAGTTATAATTATAGTGAATTAGTATTTTGTATTGAAGTCGATATACTAATTTTGATTACTTTTTTGCTTTTTTACAACAAATTATTTCACATTGATCGGTAATTTCTTTAGGTAACAAGCATCTAACATTCTCTAAAACTATAACAAAATACATGTTTGCCATTTCTAAAGAAGTAAAATTTATTTGTTTAAAATCTATTCATTTCTGAAGCATAATGTGCAAAACACTTAATGGTGCATACACATACTATTTTAAATTCGAGTTATATTCAAATAACTTTATTTGTGTTCTTAGGCATCCGGCCTAAAATACATAGTTTACATACATAAAAATATTTAATATGGTTGCGTCACCTTAACAATATTTATGATATGTAAACTATTACTATTTTTCATTAATAAATATACATAAAACAAACTTCCTTGATATGGTTAAGGTTTAAACATATTCATTTAAGCTCGATTGTGAAACAAGTTCTTTCAACTTAATATAACACTTTCGAGTCCGCTTCCTGGAACCAACCACAACTGGTGTCATATAAAGATACATGGTCGTAACCCGATTAGGGCTTGAATCCATGATCCCTGGGTTGAGAGGCAGACACCTTTACCACTAGGCCAACGCCGCCCTTAATATTTATATAATATGTAACCAATGAACGTAAAATTCTTTATAAACTCTCACCCTCACCCCCTCTTAATCATTATTGAATAATAAAAATGGACCTCGCAATCTATGTTATATTGACAAGTTGTACGTAATCTTTCTGCGATTTGTGGTATTATTGGGATTTTTACATACACGCTGAGTTAAAAGGTAAACTAGAAAAAAACTTGTTGTGCAATTATCAATTAGACATAGAAATAACGGTGTCAAAACACAGAAAAAATACCAAAATTATCCATTTCATTATTCAAAAATAAAAAATAAAAAAATATAAGTAAATAAAAAAGAATAAACAAATGAATAGAAAAAAATGAAATGACATAAGTATCTATATTTCCAGTATCTTCTGTTGACTCGGACTATCGTGGTTCAGAAACGGATGAGAGGGGCTTAAGTGGTAAGAGACCGAGAACAACTTTTACACAAGTTCAAACCAAACTTCTACAAGACAATTTCAGACGAAATCCAAACCCTTCTCCAGAAGAAATGGAAAGAATAGCAGATATGACTGGACATCCAAGAAAAACAGTGATGGTAATCATTTCTGTTTAATAATTTCATAATTTCTATGCATTTTAAAAAATATTTTAAGGAAGCTAAATGATCGTGCGATACTACATTTTAGCTGTGAATACAATAACTTTTCGTTACACTAAACATCTGTAATGTTTGTATTAAAGTCATACAGATCATTTAAAAGCACATTTTTCTTGATTATATCTCATGTTTAGTTATGGTGAAACAAAAGAAAAATACCAAGGGAAAAAAAACTTGTTAAAAAATGAAATAAAACCCATTTTGATTACAATAGAGACACCTGGATATGTTTTGTTTTTCTAATAGTAAATAATTTTTGAACTCTCTAAAACATTGTACACGTAAGTCTTCGTGCAATTTCTCATGCATTCAATATATGTACTTGATGTTATTTTCATAACTATAGATAAAGACAATAGTAGTACAATTAGCTTAGAAATCCCCTAGATCCCTAGTATATAGCACAAAGCTATATTTGATATATAGATCTAAGTCCCTCCAAAGACTTGCACTCGGTGTACACTCAAAATAAGCCGATGTATATAAGCCTGAATGTATATTATATATTGATATAACACTTGATATTGATATAGTATATGTATATGTGAATATGCCGCTGCGAGAGGCTTTATATCTTCAAGCAGCATGCCTCCAGATTCGTGCTAATTTTCATGAAAATTTGAAAATGTATATAAAGGTAAAATAGTAAAATATTGGGAAGTAACCAAAAGGAAGCAATTAACACATTTACAACAGCACTCACAACCCAGGTAAATTACCAAAATATCAAAAAAATACAATATTAGAAAGTCATTTCTGCGTTAGTAACGCAGTATAAATATGGTTATAAATACGGAATAACAAATCGTTAATCTCACATAGCATGTCAATTTTTACTTAAATCTTGAATACCTTTTTACCTTTTCTTAAACTATACGTACATTTTCCTCAGGTTTGATTTATTTGAAATATATTTGCTCATCTGAAGGCATGCAACTTTAATTTGAATTCTAAATTTAAATACACTTAATACACTATAAGTAGCAATTGTTTATAATAACTGTTAGTAATAACACTTAAAACACTTAGGGGAAATTAATACGCAGAATGTATACAGTCAGGTTTTCACAGTTTGTCTTGTTTTCAAGCTCAAGCACTTAACTGTATAGTTCATTTATATTACAATTTATTTTTAGATCCTCTTTTCGAGGAGAAAATGGAGTCATTGTCGTAACATTCTTCCGGCGTCGGCGTTGGATAACTTTTTTTTTGTTAATGTCATTTTTCTCAGAAAACTATGAAAGCGATTCACGTCAAACCTAACATGTGTATTCATTCATGTTATCAATCATCTTTACAGAATTACGCTCCAGTTTCTACTTTGCTTAAAGTAGAGAGTAGTAGAAAATTATTTATTATAGTGACATAATTATGCAATGAACATTTATACAATACAATACAATTTAACAAAGAGTTTTGCACCCGGTCAAATGGACCTATTAGTCACCTTTTATAATAAATTACATTAATCATATAACTTTACATGATATGACAAATAACGTGAGGGAAATGGTTATGGTAAAACAACACCGAATTATAAATATGAAAGTATGCACATACTAGTATAACAAAAAATAATTAAGTGAGACATAATCCTTATATTACACTATCTAGCTCTGAGCAAAGCAAAGTGAAGCATGCTGTTCGTTGACAGGTCTTGCTTTTTTATGACCGTCACGGGCGGGGGTGGGGGCGACCGAGGCCGTGTGGTTATGGTCGTTGAAGTCGCTGTGGCTTCGAATTACGGCAGCGACTTTTGATTTTTTCATGTGAGGAAGCTATACAGCTAGCTTACGGAATGTCGGTGGTTCTACCCCGTGGCTGAAATAATGCACGGAAGGGCACCTGAGGTCTTCTTTCACCAGTAAAGATGGAAATGCAGTTTCAGCGGCGGCGTTGATCTATCCTTTGGCCTAGCGGCTCGGGTTATAAATACAAGCAATCCTTTTTATAGGGCCATATATCATGTCAAAAATATGTATAACTAATACCACATAAACTTGTATCTTGAACAGATCAAAGGTCAAGGTCACTAGGATCTGTTTTACGAAAACATGAGTGTGGTCATTAAATAAAAAAAGTATTGACCTAAAATTTTAATTTTTGCATTCAGAAGTAAATTTATGAGTTCTACTGGTCACATTCTTTTATTTTCGGGTCAAATCCTCGAAGGTATTTGCGATCTTAAAGTCAAATTATCAATTAATCTACACCATTTACTTTACAACCCAGCACTGTGAGAAAAATGGAGCTTTTTAGACAGCTCGCGTTTGTTTTAAACTTGCATAAAAACCTTTTTTCATATTATTTCAGATATGGTTTCAGAACGCACGTGCAAGGAATAAAAAGCTTTTATTGAGCGGCAGCATTACATCTGCAAATCAGTCAAAGAAAGCTGGTATATTTGTTCCTTATATATCAAAAATATTACCTTGAACATATAATTACTGGAATTGGAATGTTTGTGTCTTTCAGAACAGTTTAAGGCCATTTATCATATAATTCTTTCATTAATAATAGTAATTTCTCCAATTTTAAAAATCACTGATGAAAGTACTCCGCTAAGAGAATGACAGACTCCGAATAACGTGACATAAAAAACCATGAGTTCATATTGCACTTTGATACCTATCATGTTATGATTGAATGATCTACTAAAATGGCTTTTTAAATTTGATCTTTGGTGGCAATATTGAGTGTATCCTTAAAACTTGAACGTTGCCCACTTGCCGTATGTCATCACCATTCCCAGTGTGACTCGAAGACACAATAAACTAAACCGAAATCCCAACCACCAACCCCCCAAAGAAAAAATGAAGAACTAATAAAATAAAATAGATAAGTAGAATAAAAAAATAAAACATTAACACCCACAAAAAACTATACCACACAAAAATAATAATTGAAATAAATACAAATGTACTTAAACACACACACAAAAGATAAAAGAAAATAAAGAAATTTTATATTCATACTGATCTTTTTAATATGAGTAATTTAAGAGCATATGTCAGAGGAAATTTAGTTATTAATCATGTTAAGCATTATACAATGTAAATGTATCTGAAGTTGGGGAAATAATTGTCACTGGGATTCCTGAATACTTATATCTGAGTGTTAGATTCTTTAAAACTATCGAAATAAGTGTTCCTTATTCATTGCAAAGTATCAATTAAATGTTGTCGAGTCCACACTCCATCTTTCAAGTAGGAACATCAAGTTTTTTTAAGAATTTAAAGGGCTTGAGGTTATTTTACTGCGATGCCTTTCTGGTTTGTATGGGATCCCATGTGGGTGCCGCTAACAGCACATTGACTTAAAGGAGCACACCTCAAGATTTGAACTAATTTCTATGAAAACTTAAATACACATGTATTTATTATAATGAGAAAAGGAAATGACAAATGTGATAAAATCAGGCCAAAAGGAAGTTCTCAGAAATTACTAATAACTTGCAAAAATGTAGAAATGTCTCTTTCCTCGTTAGTAGCAGGGTAGACTTTTTTGTGATGTAAAACAGTCAAGTCTTAGTTTATACATATTTTAAAAAGTGCATTTCAAAGTTTCATTTGAATTGTGAACATTTATACATTTCTGACACTATAAAAATATTCTTTTCTGAATTCAATTTTGTGAAGATTTTTTCCCACAATTTGTGGCATGTCTCCTTAAGGCAAACAGCGTACGGAGTATTGTGAAATTTAAAATGTGGTGAACTTAATGCAGAGAAGTACTGAATAATGGTAACCTTTAGATGTGACTAATTTAAAGGGACTCCACTGAGGTTGTTTTTTTTGACATGACGGGAATGGATATAATTTTTATATAGATTGATGTTCTATATGATGTAGATTAAGACGAATTATTTGTGTGAAGAAAATCAGATCATTATTTCACTCCGTTTATCCAGAATAATTCTTCTTATTGTGATTACTGACCTGAAATTTAAAGCGTTGCAACGCTTTTCACTCAAAGCATAGCACAAAATAATATTTTCAATTTATTTCTGAGCATTCTTCTTAATAAACTTTTGCATATATTTCTGTATTCAATTCTCCAAATGATATATGTGAGAAATTCAAATTTCATGTTTAATCTTTTTGGACCTCAGTAGAGTTCCTTTAACATGACCACAAATCGGAATAACTACACTAGATATATAATGTTACATGTGCGATTAGGTCACTGCAACTCTTCTCATATTATCATAAATTAAAGGTACAACATGCCTTAGAAACGAATACAATTTTACTTCAACCATGAATTTTATAACATTAAAATAATGATTTAAGGGCTAGTAGGATGCTTGTAACATGTAGAAAGTAGCAATAAATGTAATACAATGTGTCATAAAAGTAGCGAAATGTAAACAAACTAGTAATGTTACTTCCATACAAATACTAAATCACTATAACTCTACAAACTGCCAAAAACTAGCGGCTCGGGTTATATAAACAAACAACCGTTTATATACGGCCATATAACCTTTCATGATTCTTAATAACTAATCATATATACTGTTTCTAAGACCAGTAAGCAAGTTATTTTTTGGTATCAAAATTTGCAAAAATGTATTTACAACATGGTGGTTTAGTTTTTATTGAATCCCAACATATATATTTTTGGTGAAAGATAGAAACAGTGACTGTCGATACTCCAAACAAAAATCGGTTATATAGAATAAGGTTTAAGATATTTCTGTTATTTGTGGAATTCCGTTATTGTTCGGCATTACATTCTTACATTTATACTCAGTCAGAGAGGTGATTCTATATCCCGCAATATACCAATCATACAGACTTTAGTCAGAAATATGACAGTACCCAAAGCCTATGAACGGGAAAGTCAGATAAAAAAATCGATCATTTTTTTTATTTTTATATTTTTCGTTTTAAAAGTGTCATTCGGTATTTCATGCACCGCTTCCCATTTCAATCGGAATACCTCAACTTGTTCCGTTATCGGAATGCAATTATTTATTCATTTTTTGTTGTTTTATCAGGTACCTGCCACTGGATTGCTAACCCTTGTTCACCGGGAACCATTCCATTTTCAGAATAGGAAAGACTGGTTCAGTGATATGTCTCAGGATCATTAATTTTGCTACTGCGTACGACAGACTGTAAAACATCAGTGAACCAAACAAATTCAATAAGAGTGCTTTTCATTTATTCATATATTATTTTCATTGTTCTTAATTCATTTTCATAATAAATATTATTTCTTTTCAAGTACAATTTATTTTCTTTGACTTCTATTGATGCACACACAAACCTTGATCATTGTGGTATAAAAACAATGGGTTGCTTATAAACACCACCCAGTAATTGTGTTTCAAACTTACCTCATGCCAATTAGAAGTTTAATAATTATCTTATTGATGAAAAAAGGTCGTTGTTTTGACTTCTTATATATATTTGTTTATTTCTTATGTGAACAGCTGAAAATTAAATTCTTTTCAAGACTTTTAAACACTCACTGAGTTTAATATTAAAATCAATATTAAATTAAAATCTGATATTAAAATTTTAGCAGCTGTGGGCTGAGGCCGATTCCTTCATTGATGGAAATTAAGTACTATTTAAGCTTGTAATGGAGGGTGTGGGTGGAACTGGTTCGGGGGGTAGGGGAGGCGGTTTGTGTGGCACGTTTCATTGTCTGCCATAAACGAGCTCGATCAAGTCAGAGACTACGAGTTTTAACGGCATCATTTCGTCACGCGGATCAAATGAATGAGATATTCATTTGATTCCTGTTCAAGGCAAAAGCGATTTTTGTCACAGACGTTTGAGGGTCAGATCCTGCTCCCCCGACCCCAACGTAAAACGCCCTTGTATACACTCTATCAAAAACATTTTAATATTTAAACACGAATGGGACATCATTTACAACAATTTAACTGGTTTTCAAACAATTTTTAAAAGATGTCCCATTCGTGTTTAAATATAACAATATTTTGTAAATGTCTGTGATTTTTGTACCTCTCTTAAACGACAATTTCAAAATTTTTTAACACACTCTTAAATCATTTGCTAAAACTGCCGCACAAAAGAGCCTTTCTTGAATACAGGGTATTTCCCTCAGGGTTTTTTTCATGCAGATTTGATTAGTTCATTACCGTTGAGAATGAATTTTATTATGAGTTTAAACAATCATGTATACATGTATGTTATCAAGACGTATATCAACAGTATAACTAAGCCACTACTTGTGGAACGCGGAAGTGAAACGAGCTCTATATATAGCAACTTACATACGTTATGCCGAATAGGGTTATTTAAAAAAATTACCGCGTATTCCCTGACCGATTCATAGGTCCCAAAATGGTAAAAGAACAAGTCAACGGAATGAAGTGTAAAACTTGAAATTTTAGGGAACATAAAACAAGTCATGTACCAATAATAACCCGCACGTGACTGTTTCAGTTTTCATTGTCATTTATCAGTTATGTATGTGTTATACATGTATTATATAAATTGAGTTAATAAAGATATGTTCAGTTCTGTTCATTAAACCACGGCATGTAATATGCAAATGGTTTATACAAACTTTTCAACAAAATATAGATTACGTAAACCGGTTAAAAAAATAAAATATTTTGCAAATATGTCGCTTGCGTAAGAAAAACGATGACTGGTAAAATAACTAAAATAGAGAAAATAAGAACCGCTAGAGAAGCCCAATACGGCAAAATTGAAAATGTTGCAGACTCGGTTTGATCGAGCCTGTTCATGGACGGTACGTCACCATGCCCCCTAGCATCGGCTTCAGCAGAAGTCAACATTTAAACATGAAATGGTAAAATTTTGAATTTACAAACATTCGCAGATGTATTCATACGGCGGTAATCATGAAACCTTCAATATGACACTTCCGTGCCATTCCATGAAAAGCGGTCAGTCTTGCGATCAGAATCCGTTCTAAAATGCTGAAAAGAAACTTATGAAAATGCGATAAAACAGTTATAATAAATGACACGAAACACGTTGTCTGGGCGACAACTCAGACGATTCTGAAAAAATAATCGTCACGGTCTAACAGCAACGCCATCAATTTTAGCAGAAACATCCCTAGATTTTTCCTCACCCAGTGTTATATCCTGATATCTAACACATTTCATACACAATAATTATTACAAAAAAAATGTCGAGGTCGTTATCAAAATTTCATTCTTTTTGCGGCAGAAATCAGCAAAACATTTCTATGTTCAGTGCTTTTCCCTCTCCTCAAACAGAAATGTCTTAATATTTGATAATGATTTCCAGATGTGTGTCCAAATAACACACATATTATCCAGTATATCTGAACAAATCTTTACTTAACAAAACTATTTCCAAACATCGATAAGATAGATAAATGTTAAAGTTATTCAATCACGTTTATCACAATTTTCGTAAGTAATTATGTCATGGTACTAACATGTCCCTGTTGATAATGTTAACAAGGTGAAAAACAACTCACGTTTCATCTGTTTGAGCCAATGATATATACATGTTCATAATCAAAGTAAGTGTACAGTACCAATTGTGTAATATTATGTCATTTGTGTGTGAGATTTGTGTTTTAATGTCTGATGTTAAAGTTGTCGAATGTTACTTAGAATTAACTACTTTTGCATGCATGTTTGGATCAATGAATTGTTAGTCCCGCATATTTCCTTATATCTGTTATAAATATCAAATAACGTTTTACGTACTAACCGTCAAAATACCTGTTTTTTCTTGAATTTGTAGTACAGGATTATCAATAAAATTTGAAAATGTGAACACTTTGCACTTTGTTGTTTTTTTCTGTTGTTTTTTTTTCTGTTGTTTTTTTTTCACGGGAACAAGAACAATGTCTTGATGATGTCATGCATGAAACATCATGTTGTTACGCGGCAAATAGTTAAATATGACTGAAAACCACTACAAAGGATGAACTTTATTTCAATCTTTCATGCAAAACAAACACATACCCTAGAGTTATGTCTTAGAAATAAAATCACCAGACTGTTATGTGGAATTTCCTGAATGGGTGGATGACCACACATACATAAAATATTGCTGTAAAGAATTATGACGCGCTAGTATAACGTTAAAGTGACATTATGCCCATTTAAGGGCATTGTATACACACCGGTCTCAAATATCGACCTGTGTCGTACGACGTATTACTCACCCCAAATGAGGGTAAAAATGACTCTGACATAAAGAAGTTCGCGTAGGAATGACGATTTTATTTTATAAAACACACTATATCTTTCCAAGTAATTAAAATCATTTATTGCTTCTAGGGGATCACTGTCTATTGAAAGTGCAATTGATAGTTCGACTGTGTTACTATTTATTCAAATACTCAAAACTACTTTCACTTTCGGTTTTAAACTAACAATGGACGAAATACTATCACGCATGTTGAACGAAACTTGGTTTGTAAAACCACTTAAGGATTGTCAGAAGGAGTGTTTGATGCATGTTTTGAGTAAAATTATGTAATGGCTATTTTGCCTACAGGGTATGGAAAAAGTTTAATTTTTCAACTGGCCTCATTTGCGTTTTGTTCTATCACTTCCGTATTCAAGCCGCCATGTAAAAAGTAGTGCGTTTCCATCATGCTTAGAGTGGTTTCACACAGGTCAAAATAACCTTTCATATTGCGATAATACCTTTCAATTTTATAGTTCAAATAACTCATGCGGTACAAGGATTTTTTTGTATCTTATTTTATCTGTAATGTTAGATTTTATAAAAGAGTTTAAACACTATACACATGAGCAATAATACATAAAAACCCGCAACTTTTTGTACCGGGAAGTTAAAATGAGTGTTTATGGGTTTTTTTTCCCAATGACCTGCGGTACTTAAGTAAATATTAAATCTTATTATCATGCAGTATCATTAAGTATTGAGAATTTCTTACGGAATGTTTCAATATAAAAAATGTTAGAAAAACAATCTCCATTGGAAGTTATAAAGGTTGAACAAAATGGTGTTACGTTTTTCGAATTGCCAGGAAATAAAAAGTTGCAGCGTACATTGAATAATCGGCGATATGCTCAGCAAAAAGGAGTTTTTAGTCACGATCATATTTTAACAACTTTAAAAAAACATCGGGGACTAATTATAGTGAACAGAAACATAGTACTAAGTCCCGACGACGAACTTTATATTTTACTTATCAATAAGCTTCACGGACGAAACATACCAGCATATTTTCTTGACAAACAGAGCGAAGTATTAGATGTTATTAAAGTCATTCAAGATATTTATCAAAATAGTTTAGAAGCGGATACAAAGGACTCACATATTAAGGAAACGACTTTCAACCAAAAATCAAGTACGTATATATACATGTATAAACCAGAAATAAGTCATAAAATTATGATGCATGTTTAAGTGGCTCAACTAAATACTTGTGTCAAAAGATGAAAACGAATTTTCATAATATTCAATAATGAGTATATATTTACGTATCTTTTTTTTAAACTCTAAACAGTGATATAAATTTTGGATTTTATTTGCTTTTTTATAGAACCATAATATTCAGACGGAAAATGGATTTATTAAGAACCATCAAATCACCACAAGTGGAATGTCATAATTTATGTTGTAAAAGTCTCTTCGATCTTAAAAACTTTCAAGTTTTATCCTTCATGTATAGGTTAAAGTTTATTAGCACGTATTTACAAAAATAAGTTTATTTTTGTAAATACGTACTTATAATTTTTAAGCGGCTTAGTGTTTTGAATTATTTATTTTTATAAACAGTCGATTTACTAGACTGATTAACACTTTGCCGATTTACCAAAGTAAATGTGTTACGATTCATTTTAAATACTGCGATCCTATTGGGTAAAAAATAATTTCAAACGCTAAATGTCTTTATTACACTTCTGTGCCGCTGTTTATGTGATATAATAATTTATTTTACAAACCTTAAGCTGACATAACTGTTAATATATGAAAACTAAATTTTGTTTACAGAGGGCAATAAATGACTAACTCAGTGTTTTAATTTCAGACTGCAAGGCCGTACCTGCAAGACAAAGTCATTCCACTAGTGTTGTGGACGTGTTTGAAATGTCAGCGTACCCACTTGATAACGCTGATTATTCCAAACCACTGTACCCATCCAGCGAAAGAAGCAATGTCGTCAAAGAAAGTAAGCCAATACAGGCGACAGACAGCGGGATAGACTCTGTAGACAGCTCTCTTTTAGCGACAAATTTTACGCCACAAAATAGACTAGGTCTTGCTTCACGCTTTCAAAGTACGGATTCGATAACATATGGTGGACCGTCCTCAGGCAATCCTAGTTTAGCTGTGTCTACAGATGGGTATTTATCTAGTCTGTACAGGCCCGGGAGAGAAAATATACATTTCAATGCTACTTCACGAGTAGATGATACTACATACATACCTAAACAACCGAAGTACCCCGACTATGTGTTACAGGCCACAAGATCTTCAAGTTTTCAGTCTCAAAAATGGGAAGTAAGCTGCAAACCGGAAATAAGAACCCTTGTAGCGTTCGGGTTCTTTTACACAGGTATTCCTACTTGTTTTAGATTGTAAAAAAAGTCATAAGCTCAGAAAACCTTAATATAGAGGCTTCTAATCAGTCATGATCATACATTTATTTTGTAGAAAGAAAATGCATTTTTAAATTCTTCGTCACGTTTAAAGTGGAAGAAAGTTTATGAATTTGTTAACTTGAGACAAGAAATAAAAAATCCATTATCATATTAACTATATTGACAGTAAGTGACGGTTGAAAAAAATGACTGAACTTAACAGGAAAAGAAATATTCTCCTTATATCCAAAATATCTATATCATTCTTATTTATAAACACACATTTCATACTAAATTTAGTTTCTTTGAGCCTGTCACACAGCATGTGCGATCGGCCATGAAGAGATAGTGACATTAAGAAGATAGAGTGTGCTTATTCATATACTAAGCACAATGGTATATGGTATTACAGTTTTATCGTATGTGTTCCTCAACGTTTTCCATCTTTCTCTATTCATTGACTAGTTCTTTTATTCCTGTTTCCGGTCGGTTTATTTAGGAACTGGCGATCTAGTAAGATGCTATCAATGTGGTATCGGTCTTAAAGACTGGGTCAGAGACGATGACGTTTTGGCAGAACATATCAAATATTCGTCCGCGTGTGACTTTCTCCGCCAGAAGCTTGGACAATCTGAAGTTGAGCGCCTAAAGGTTTGTAATTATTAATTTGTAAGGTTATGTAAGAAAAAAACTAAAGAGAGAAACTCAAAATGACCCCGTGTCGAGGGGTATCAGTATAAGTAATAGTTACGGATTATCTTTTCACGTGCAAAACAGAATGACATCCTTCAGGAAAACACGGAAGCTAGAATACATGATGTGCCCTGACCTATGTTTAGGCTCATTTAAACAATATTTTAGTCATGTATACCGACAGCAAGACTTGTAATAATATTGTTGATAAACGCCCACACGCACGCGCAGACAAACACGTAGTTATAATGTCTTAAAGGTTGCCCACCAACAAACAAAGTTTATCAGTAATAGTGGATTTTTGCTGTTAAGGATAGTATTCAAATAGAAGATGATGTGATCAGGAACTTAAAAAGATAAAATATAAGAAGACAAAGTCTTTATTTAACAATGCATACTTGTGATTAACAATAACGCCACAAGATTTGCGGAAACCAAACAATTTAGTGGGGTTCTTATAGCACAGTTTACAATGACAGTATACGATGAGAATACACTTTCATATTATTAAAAATATGAAACTGTATTTAAATCATATGCTCTCATTATTTACAGATAAAGTAATATTATATACAGTCGATAGAAACAAATATATTCTATATAGATAAAGACGAAACTTAAATTGGGATTTTCAAAATTTGATCGAGATAACGAGAATTCGAGAAAAGCGATTTCGAGATAACAATAGTTGACTGTACGAATACATGCCGTAAATGTATTCGGATGATGTTATGTCCTTGTATATATACTTGAGACTCGATTTGCTTTAAGTGGACTTTACCACTACAGGAACATTTAAGAGGTGGTTCCGCTACAATGTATAAGATTTCTTCCCCTTAATTATATTGAAAGTATTTAATAGCTATAGCCTTTTATTTAGTGCATTCGAGAAATGAGAAAATCCATATATTCGCAATTGTGAAACTGATGAAAAAGGAAAGAAAATGCAATGATTATACAGTTCTATCAAAGGCCTTCAGATTTAAACAAAATATGCAAGGGAGGGAAGTTATGATAATGATGATAATGAATTTTAATTTTATGATAATAAAGAAATATAACTAAATGTAATATGTAAATAATTCATATTTAAGATTCTCTGAATTGAAATCATTTATGTGAAATATAACGAAAAAGAAAAAATGACTTCCAATATATGGTTTCGTCTAATTTTCAGAACGCATTGACTTCTGACGGTGAGTTACTTTATAGTTTCATGGTCTATGAAATCCGAAAGTTTCTTTTTTCTTACTGATAAAAAATGACATTTGTTTCATCATTATAGCGAAAAACCTTACGAAAAATATTAAATCAGATAATTTAAAATTCTCGAGGTATAAGGTAGGTGATATAACTTTTTTTTTTCAAAAGAAAAAAAATATGCTAAAATCAGCAAATCATTGTTTAATTTAAACCCCCTGTAACTTCCTTGATATATTGACACGCCTCGAGTAAGTTTAATAAAAAAAATCAAATTTAAACAGTCATTTAATGACCTCTGATACAGGCTAAGTATTCAATATTTTGTTATATACTGAACGACTCATCATGTATTTGATTTCTAGAGCGAGTCTGAGGTATCGCTCAAGTCGAAGAAGAAGACTGGTTCACGTATTTCATGTTTTTTATTAACTTCTTCAGAAGATAACCAAAGTGACCAACCTACATGTAGCACGTATCAGATCCGCTCACCTAGGTATCAAACTATGGAAGCCAGGCTTGCTTCTTTTGAATCTTTTCCAAGCATCGGAATCAATCACCAAACCCTGGCTGTTGCGGGATTGTTTTTCACGGGCAACGGGGACCTTTGTCGCTGTTTTGCATGTGACGGTGGACTCAAAGACTGGAGTAATGGTGATGACCCGATACAGGAACATGCTACATACTTCCCCACATGTCCGTATATCAATCAACTTAAAGGAGCAGACTATGTTAAAACGATGCAAGAGAGAAGAGCACCTAGTGTTCCAACGGTAAGGATGTTTTACAATAAACAATTTATATGTGTATTTGTATGATAATCATAGCATATAACACGTAGTTTAAAGGCATATGAACACATGCAGTTTTAACAGTATTGCAAAGGTATGAAGCTTAAAGCAATGTAAAAAAGTTTAATACAATCTGTAATTTTAAAGTAAAGTGGTGTAAATAAAGCACTGTAAATAAAGTTTAATACAATCTGTAGTTTTGACAGTAGACTAAAGGGTTGTTAATAAAGCAATGCAATCAAATTTTATACAATTTGTAGTTTGAACGGTAGAGTAAATGTGTGTAAATAAAGGAATGCAATGAAGTTTAATATAATTTGTAGTTTTGACAGTAGAGTGAAGGGGTGTGAATAAAGCAATGTAATAAAGTTTAATACAATTTATAGTTTTAACAGTAGATTAAAGTGGTGTGAATAAAGGAATGTAATAAAGTTTAATACAATTTATAGTTTTAACAGTAGATTAAAGTGGTGTGAATAAAGGAATGTAATAAAGTTTAATACAATTTATAGTTTTAACAGTAGATTAAAGTGGTGTGAATAAAGGAATGTAATAAAGTTTAATACAATTTATAGTTTTAACAGTAGATTAAAGTAGTGTGAATAAAGGAATGTTATAAAGTTTAATACAATTTATAGTTTTAACAGTAGGTTAAAGGGGTGTGAATAAAGCAATGTAATAAAGTTAAATACAATTTGTAGTTTTAACAGTAGATTAAAGTAGTGTGAATAAAGGAATGTAATAAAGTTTAATACAATTTGTAGTTTTAACAGTAGATTAAAGTGGTGTGAATAAAGGAATGTAATAAAGTTTAATACAATTTGTAGTTTTGACAGTAGAGTGGAGGGGTGTGAATAAAGCAATGAAATAAAGTTTAATACAATTTATAGTTTTAACAGTAGAGTAAAGGGTTGTGAATGAAGGAATGTAATAAAGTTTAATACAATTTATAGATTTAACAGTAGATTAAAGTGGTGTGAATAAAGGAATGTAATAAAGTTAAATACAATTTGTAGTTTTAACAGTAGAGTGAAGGGGTGTAAATAAAGCAATGTAATAAAGTTTAATACAATTTATACTAGTAGTTTTAACAGTAGAGTAAAGGGTTGTGAATAAAGGAATGTAATAAAGTTGAATACAATTTATAGATTTAACAGTAGATTAAAGTGGTGTGAATAAAGGAATGTAATAAAGTTTAATACAATTTATAGTTTTTAACAGTAGAGAAAAGGGTTGTGGATAAAGCAATGTAAAAAAGTTTAATACAATTTATAGTTTTAACAGTAGGTTAAAGGGGTGTGAATAAAGCAATGTAATAAAGTTAAATACAATTTGTAGTTTTAACAGTAGAATAAAGTGGTGTGAATAAAGGAATGTAATAAAGTTTAATACAATTTGTAGTTTTAACAGTAGATTAAAGTGGTGTGAATAAAGGAATGTAATAAAGTTTAATACAATTTGTAGTTTTGACAGTAGAGTGAAGGGTTGTGAATAAAGGAATGTAATAAAGTTTAATACAATTTATAGATTTAACAGTAGATTAAAGTGGTGTGAATAAAGGAATGTAATAAAGTTTAATACAATTTGTAGTTTTAACAGTAGAGTGAAGGGGTGTAAATAAAGCAATGTAATAAAGTTTAATACAATTTATACTAGTAGTTTTAACAGTAGAGTAAAGGGTTGTGAATAAAGGAATGTAATATAGTTGAATACAATTTATAGATTTAACAGTAGATTAAAGTGGTGTGAAAAAGGAATGTAATAAAGTTTAATACAATTTATAGTTTTTAACTGTAGAGTAAATGGTTGTGGATAAAGCAATGAAATAAAGTTTAGTACAATTTATAGTTTTAACAGTAGATTAAAATGGTGTCAATTAAGGAATGTAATAAAGTTTAATACAATTTATAGTTTTAACAGTAGATTAAAATGGTGTCAATAAAGGAATGTAATGAAGTTTAATACAATTTGTAGTTTTAACAGTAGAGTAAAGGGTTGTGAATAAAGGAATGTAATAAAGTTTAATACAATTTGTAGTTTTAACAGTAGATTCAAGTGGTGTGAATAAAGGAACGTAATTAAGTTTAATACAATTGATAGTTTTAACAGTAGAGTAAATGTTTGTGGATAAAGCAATGTAATAAAGTTTAATACAATTTGTAGTTTTAACAGTAGAGTAAAGGGAAGTGTATAAAGCAATGTAATAAAGTTTAATACAATTTATAGTTTTAACAGTAGAGTAAAGGGTTGTGAATAAAGTGATGTAAAAAAATTAATACAATTTATAGTTTTAACAGTAGATTAAAGTGGTGTGAATAAAGAAATGTAATTAAGTTTAATACAATTTATAGTTTTAAAAGTAGAGTGAAGGGGTGTGAATAAAGCAATGTAATAAAGATTATACAATCAATAGTTTTAACAGTAGAGAAAAGGGTTGTGAATAAAGCAATGTAAAAAAGTTTAATACAATTTATAGCTTATAGGGAAGTAAAGGGTTGTGAATAAAGCAATGTAATAAAGTTTAATACAATGTGTAGTTTTAACAGTAGATTAAAGTGGTGTGAATATAGGAATGTAATAAAGTTTTATACAATATATAGTTTTAACAGTAGAGTAAAGGGTTGTGAATAAAGTAATGTAATAAAGTTTAATACAATTTATAGTTTTAACAGTAGAGTGAAGGGTTGTGAATAAAGCAATGTAATAAAGTTTAATACAATTTATAGATTTAACAGTAGAGTAAAGGGTTGTGAATAAAGCAATGTAATAAAGTTTAATACAATTTATAGTTTTAACAGTAGATTCTAGTGGTGTGAATAAAGGAATGTAATTAAGTTTAATACAATTGATAGTTTTAACAGTAGAGTAAAGGGTTGTGAATAAAGCAATGAAATAAAGTTTAAAGCAATTTATAGTTTTAACAGTAGATAAAAGTGGTTTGAATAAAGCAATGTAATAAAGTTTAATACAATTTGTAGTTTAAACAGTAGAGTGAAGGGGTGTGAATAAAGCAATGAAATAAAGTTTAATACAATTTATAGTTTTAACAGTAGAGTAAAGGTTTGTAAATAAAGTAATGTAAAAAAGTTTAATACAATTTACAGTTTTAACAGAAGATTAAAGTGGTGTGAATAAAGGAATGTAATAAAGTTTAATACATTATAGTTTTAACAGTAGATTAAAGTGGTGTGAATAAAGGAATGAAATAAAGTTTAATACAATTTACAGTTTTAACAGTAGATTAAAGTGGTGTGAATAAAGGAATGTAATAAAATTTAATACATTTATAGTTTTAACAGTAGATTAAAGTGTAGTGAATAAAGGAATGAAATAAAGTTAAATACAATTTATAGTTTTAGCAGTAGATTAAAGTGTAGTGAATAAAGGAATGAAATAAAGTTAAATACAATTTATAGTTTTAGCAGTAGATTAAAGGGTTGTGAATAAAGGAATGAAATAAAGTTTAATACAATTTATAGTTTTAGCAGTAGATTAAAGTGTAGTGAATAAAGGAATGAAATAAAGTTAAATACAATTTATAGTTTTAGCAGTAGATTAAAGGGTTGTGAATAAAGGAATGTTATAAAGTTTAATACAATTTGTAGTTTTAACAGTAGAGTATAGTATTGTAAATAAAGCAATGTAATAAAGATTAATGCAATTTGTTATTTTACAGAAGAGTAAACGGGTGTTAATAAAGCAATGTAATAAAGTTTAATACAATTTGTAGTTGTAACACTAGAGTAAAGGGGTGTTATTTAATTAAACTTTTTACAATTTGTATACAATCAATTTTTTTAATCTTTCCTGTAATACTGTCTTTCAAGTAAGTTTGTAAATTACCGGTTTTTATATGCAATGATATGATTGAATATATACTTCCCTGTAGTCCATTTCGGTTATTGCCAAATTAAATGTTTATAATTATTTGAATGACAATATTTCGAAAGTATTGCATATCAAAACATTCAACCAATATTGACCTTAGAGTTACACCAGGTAGTACTTAAACCGAAGACAGGTAATACACAACATAATTCGAGCTTTTCCTTATATGACGCGTTAAAAATATTTAATGTCAACATGTAAACAATGAAAATAACCTGTCTGTATGTTCCCAATAGGGAAGTTATTCATTTATTTGGAAAGAAATTATAAATGGGGTATGATTTCACTTGGCATGAGATCACTTTTGAAGGCAGCGCATTTCGATGTAATGTTTGTATTTCTTTGAAACTCCTCCTCTGGCATTTTGTCCGCTAAAGAATTAGAAAAAAACCTACTCGCATTATAAACGTATAACTGCATTTTACCGAAAACATTTCTTTTATTAGTCAATAATAACATTCCTTTTATTAGTCAATAGTAAGTCGCAACGTTAATTACCGAATTGAACCTTTCTGTGTATCTCTGCTATCTACCGAAAAATCGGATGATCGACAACAAAAATATATCAATCGACCGATCCTTCCGTTTCAAAAGTATAATATTTGTTATCTATTATTTTCTGCCTAAAATCATGGATACATTTATTACTTTTGTACTATTTCCTATCACTAAAACTTAAATATATCCTAATTTGGTTCTTCACAGTTACTTAAGGATAAAATATCAATTCTTTATTTTCAGTAGCAAAACCAAGTTAAAAATGTTTCCATTTAGCTTTAAACGACCGGATTGTATTGTTAAACGAATACAATTAAAATCCATTAATTAAATGTTATCTAATGATAAATCTTAATAACATAAACTATGGCACAGAGTTGTAGAAAAATAGAGAAAATATATCCTTAAAGAAAGTACAAAACAGCAAAATTGAAAATGTTGCAGGTAAGGCTCGGTTTGATTGTGCCTGTTCATGGACGGTACTGTCAAGTGCAAACTACCGTCCATGCACCCTTCAGAATCGGCTTAAGAAGAATATAACATTTAAACATGAAAAATGACGAAATAACAAAAGCATTTAATAAATACAATAATACAATAGTGTAATAACTGCAGCGTGACGCCATTTCAGCTATACAAACATAGCGTAAATGTGCGTTAATTTAAATCGTTAAATAAATCAAGAATTAAACCAACAAAAGTTCAAGTTTCTCTATGATGCATATAATTCTAGGTGTCGTCAGGACAAGTGTCGAGAACTCAAGAGAAAAACCAAATCGCAAAACCAAAGGTAAATCAACATCATGCTTGCAGTCAAGGGTCACCCAATGATGTAACATCTCAAATAACTCATGCGTTTGCTGGATTGTCATCTGCAAATACAAGTAAGTGCCAATTATTGGACATATTTAAAAAGGTGTTCATATGTTTCCCCGTATATGTGACAGTGGAACTTTTCAGATTATCATATGAATTTAATGCAAAAACAACGTAGTTTTCAAAAATCGAACAATTTCTGTATACAAGGAGAATTATTACTGCCATTCTTTAGCTGAAAGTCACCATAACAAAGCTTAGAAATTGGAGAGCAAGACCAGATATACATCATAATCATTTGAAGTTCAGTTAAAGTGGATTGGTCTATAATTGAAGGTCTGTTATACCATAAATAATCATGCTGATATAGTATCATAGCAACAAAGCTAAAGCTACAGCTAAACATGATAATAAAAATAGTATGTATATTAAAAGCACACTATGCCTCATAAATCCTATTTTTCAATTCTTTATAACTGTTAAACATGGAATAAATAATGTTTTAATAGTGGATTTAAAGTTTGATAGATGTTAACAACCGAAGAAATAGCACTGAACAGCCCTATAGGGATGTATTGTAAAGGTAGCAAAATGTAAACAAAGTAGTATTTTGACTTCCATACAAAATACTAATTCATTTAAATTATATCAATTGACATAGAGCAACAGAAGCAAAACAGTAGTTCATCTATATGACAAACATGATACAAAAGAATAAAATGTTTTAAAGAAATTAAAATGATAGCATATCTAAAGCATTATGGGTCTTTAATAAGAAAAAAATTCCATGACCTTTTGCATTAGAATACAATATTACTTCACCACCAAGACAAGATATTAAAACAACATCCAATTCTTCAAAATAAAGTATAAAATAAGGCGACTAAAAACATTGTAGGAAAATGACCCCGCTTTTTGACATCAGAGGGCTGGTAAGGCAGTCACTGCTGTGCTAACATCTGATTGGTTTACAAATGACATGCAAATGGAAAACTGATAAAAAAAATGTGATACAAAGAAACAATTAAATAATACTTATTTAAAATTATTTTTCTTGGAATTTTGTTATGAAAATATAGCTAAACGATTTACTTGTACTTCTTTTTTTTCAGATATAAAAGAAATGCTAGAAGAGAACCAGCGTTTGTCAGAGATTGTACATTGCAAACTCTGTGTCACAGGGGAACCAGATATTCTATTTTTACCATGTGCACATCATAAAATATGTCATAAATGTTCTGAAAATCTCACACATTGCCCTATCTGTAGAAAACAAATCAAACAAAAAGTGAAAACATATAGGTCTTAAAGTGAATTGATCTATAATGGAAGGTCTGTAATACAATAAGTGCAATAAATAATTACCTCGATAATATTGGAGTATCAAACAATAAACCACAAATTAAGTATATATGTTTGTTGTTGGCACGTGTGACATACACGATCCGATATAACATATCAATATAGAAGACAACCGAGGTTTTACGCATGCGTAAAATGGCTGCAAAGGAATGGTCAGCTGTGCAGAAGAACCGAATAACATGCTACCTAGAAAGATCTGGACAGTTGTTGAAAATTAAAGGGAAAGCGTTACGACACGAAAATTCCATTACGTTCATTTAAATTTAAAATTGTCATGAAGTGTAAAGTTGATATATGTGAATGTTTTTATGTACTTGTATTTTTTACTGAGGCCTCGCAAAATATATCACTTCATTCCGCAGTTAAGCATATCATGTAAGACTCGGCTGTGCAGCCGAATAATAAAATGCTCTAGAACAAAATATTATCATTCATCATGTAAATGCCCATACTTAATAACATTTGTTCTCCTGAAATATCTTATAATAATAACAAAATGATACATTACTACTTTTTTTTAAAATGATACATTACTATTTTTTTTTATCAATATCTGGAATTCTATTAAATAAAATGTGCCAAATGTAGACAATCTACTTTAAGAATAATTTTATTATGCTTCTTATATATTTTATCATGACTCAGAAACCAATTCAATATATTTCTCAATATAACTTAATGAGATTTGTGCTAATTCCCATACTTGAGATAATATTTTGTATATGTTTTTTGTAAAACTAAACATGTCCGACATATACTTACTAGATACGTTTATTTTCTCTCAGACTTAAAGTAGAAACTGTTAGATGGTCAAGAGATAGAGTGGATATGAATAATAGATAGTGTAGACACTGTAATATCATTGAAGATGAATATCATTTTGTAATATGTTGCTCTAAATATAATGCCCCGAGACCACAATATTATATAAATAAACCCAGAATTGTTGAAATGTCAGAATGAACATGTTATATTTAATTTATGACTACATTTGTAAATTTTCAAAATCAGAAAATAATGAAACATTGTATCAAAAGTAATCATATGTCTTCTCCCAATACAATACATTACTGTATATACAGACATACGTTTTTACAGGAGTTTTTATGTCCCTTTGTGTTTATCCTCTTTTGTAAATAGTATTGTTCTAAAAATGTAAAGAAATTGCCTGTTTCAAAGCTTATTTTGTAAAAAAAATAGGATAGTTTTAAAAATGTATAGTCTTTTTTTAAAGCTTGTTGTTGTATAAGAATGTTTATTACGCATGAAATAGTTTGCCATTGATGCCATTGATGTCATGTGACACATGTAATTGTATATATTGTAAATGTGTTGACCCATGGACTTCTCCAGATCCCTCCCGAGGCGTGCACGTCGCGGAGAAGGCACACGCCAGGTCAAGGCAAAGTCACCTCAAGTACCAGAGACGATTGGTTGACCTGTCGTGACTAACTCGGGAGGGTGGCTCTAACAAGAGCCGTTTTTGTTATGTTGCCGTCAGGAAACGCGATGCCTATTGTCGTATATCCACTCACCACCAACAAAAGAAGAATAGGCTATGAAAAGACGTCCCCGATGTGACTTCTACAGTGGACCGACATGGACGCTGATAATCTCGGACATATAGTTAATTTCGGCGCAGAGTATAAATAAAACTTTATACTAATACTACTACTAATTCTAATACTACTACTAATCATGGACCAATCTGGCCTACTGGCTTTGTGAGATTTAACCAATAAAACCATTAAAAACTTACCAGTTTAAAAGAGAATTGAACAAGTAATGTTCACCAAGTTTATGTACGGTGCCTCGCTTTGTACCTTATCGTTGGTCATGTGTGACTGGATCATATCATGGCTGAGTTCAGTGAAAGTCATCTGACCTTGTTGATGTTATTGTAAGAAATTCAAATTTAATGTTTTAGGTATTTGAACTTCAGTGGAGTTCCTTTAAGAAATGTCTGTTTGTTTTGTTTGTTAAATCATGCAATTCCATGATATACTCCACTATATGTTTTTTCGTTTCATTTATTTTCGTTCTGTTCTGATAGAACAACAATAATGTCATCTGTGATTGTATGTTGCAATTATTTATTATGATAGTTCTAAAATGTGTGATATTAGTATTTTATATGTCTTTATGTGTTATAAATTGTCTCTATAATAAATAGATATGACTTCTGATTAATTATTTTGCTTCTTTGACTTATTTGTATACATTTTTGCTTATCTTTTTTATATGGAACACATATAATATGGCGATTATGACCATTGCATAATGTGATAAAATAAATAAAAATGGAACCCTAAAGAATGTTCAAAACGACAAAAATTGAAAATGTTGCAGATTCGGATTGCCAGAACCTGTTCAAGAACGGTAAACGTAAATGCAGGCTCATACGCCACCGAGCAACGGCTTATTAAGCGGAATTCAATATTTAGCATGAAATGGTACTCCTCTTTTAATTTGAAAACATTTGAAGATGTGTTCATGCGGCGGTCATCAAAGAACCTTCAATATGTCACGTCAGTGCCATTCCATAAAAAGCGGCGTATGGTCCCAAAATAAAAGAAAGGCGTGTGCCCCGAAAGAGAAAAAAATTGCCAAAATAAAAAATAAAAAGGAGTTTTGAAAGAGGATCAGAGGTTAGTAAGCCTGCATATCACTGACAAGGTGTCAAAAGACAAAAAAGCTTGCAACACTTCACTAGATTTATGAAACATTATTAAACCGTCTGAATGTTTCAATCGTCAATGTAAATGATGCACACGTCAATGTAAATGATTCAAACGTCAATGTAAATGATTTAAACGCCAATTTAAATGATTTAAACGTCAATTTAAATTATTCAAACGTCAATTTGAATGATTCAAACGTCAATGTAAATGATTCAAAAACCATTGTTTATGATGTAAGTGTCAATGTAAATGATTCAAACGTCAATGTAAATGTTTCAATCGTCAATGTAAATGATGCACACGTCAATGCAAATGATTCAAACGTCAATGTAAATGATTTAAACGTCAATTTAAATGATTTAAACGTCAATTTAAATTTTATCCTGTCACTTGTATCAATTTCGGCCCGATAACAAGGTGCCGTATATTTTTACTGATCTACGGCACTTGATCACGTGGTATGCATGTTTGCCGGACTACTTTTCAAGAAAAAATTAAATCTTCTGTGTGTAAAATAACGAATTTTGGAAACGTTGATAAAACTTTGTTTGTTTATTTTATTTCACTCTATAATTTTTCAAGCGAAATAAAAAATATTAAAAGTGAAATAAATGTAAAACTTAACTCGTTTGCGATATTAAAATAGCGTACTTGATTTTATTGTTTTGCACGTGCTGTTTTGCGCTACATTGTGACGTCACGTAAACAATTCTTTAAACGTCTGTACAGCGTTAACGACTGAATAAAAGATATTGGTGTTCGAATTCATTTTCTTAGTTAGACCATTTTCTTTCATTCTAGATAGTTTTCACAACAAAATTCGACAAAAAATTGTTTTTATTTATCACATTTTCAAACAAAATGGCGCCCTCAATGTGAAAATACACAGGGAGATAATAAGAACGGCGAGTGCATTGTTGTAGAATAATGCACGCTTCGGTCCTTTTTTGTTTATATAGAAACATATACGATAGTGTGATTAAAGGTAGTTTTTCCTAATAAAATTCTTTAAAAAAAAAACGGTGACAGGATAAATAGAATAATAGATTGGTGCCGTGGATGGAGAAAGTTTATCTGGCTCTGCTCCGGAATTTATTGGGTTCGCCTTCGGCTCACCCAATAAATTCCTCCGCCTCGCCAGATAAACGTTCTCCATCCACGGCACCAACCTATTATTCTCTATATTCAAACGTCAATTTGAATGATTCAAACGTCAATGTAAATGATTCAAAAACAAATGTTTATGATGCAAGTGTCAATGTAAATGATTTCAACGTCAATGTAAATGATTCAAACGTCAATCTAAATAATTCAAACGTCAATGTGAATGATGAAAACGTCAATGTAAATTATTCAAACGTCACTGTAAATTTTTCAAACGCCAATGTAAATGATTCAAACGTCAATGTAAGTGATTCAAACGTCAATGTTAATGATTCAAACGTCAATGTAAATGATTTAAACGTCAATGTAAATGATTCAAACATGAATGTAAATGATTCAAACGTCAATGTGAATGATCCAAACGTCAATGTAAATTATTCAAACGTCACTGTAAATTTTTCAAACGCCAATGTAAATGATTCAAACGCCAATGTAAATGATTCAAACGTCAATTTAAGTGATTCAAACGTCAATGTAAATGATTCAAACGTCAATGTAAATTATTCTTACGTCAATGTAAATGATTCAAACGTCAATGTAAATGATTCAAACGTCAACGTAAATGACTCAAACGCAAATTTAAATGATTCAAACGTCAATGTAAGTGATTCAAACGTCAATGTAAATTATTCAAACATCAATGTAAATTATTCAAACGTAAATGTAAATGATGCAAACGTCGATGTAAATGATTTAAACGTCAATGTAAATGATTCAAACGTCAATGTAAATGATTCAAACGTCAATGTTAATGATTCAAACGTCAATGTAAATGATACAAGGCATAGGCCATATCAATCTAGGCTAAATTGAATAACATTTTCAATAATTCATTGTATGGCGAGGTCTCAATATTCACTTATTTCTTTTTCACGTCGTACCTATAAGCTTTCTACAATGACGTTATCCTCTTACTTTATTTACTCCATTAAGCATTGCAAGTAAAACACAATGTTTCTAAAGTAACACGAAACACGATCCTCAGCTTTTAACGAAAAATAAGAACATTAATCCGAAGGAATAATCGGGAAGCAGCAATAAGATTCTGTTTTTCAGCTTATTTGTGAGCCCTTTGTATTTTAAGTATTTTGATTTTGTGCTGTTAGCATAAGCTACGATCCCTTTCAATGGTCTGTTTTATTTGGTTTGCCATAAGAGTACTAGCTTTTCTTTTCTTTGGGACCATTAACTGGCACGCGCGTGTTACATTAAAGGTTTAATGAAATCCGCCTTGTATGAACAAATTTGCGGATGTTTCTCAATTTACGTTTAAATGGAAAATTCTACTTAAGCCGTTGCTTAGGGCGTGGTCGTTAGCGTGCCTATTAATAGGCTTCATCAAAGAACATTTTCAATGTTTGCTGTTTTGGGAGGTCTTTAAGGACTTCTTTTTACTATCCAGTTTCGAAATGCGTTCCGTTAGAACATGCATTAATAATACAATCTCGCATAATCTTTTAAAAGAATAGTTTTTCTGTAACTTAAATCAGTTGAATCTTCATGAAATCCACTAATTTGAGATATCACATGGTTGAATTCAGGTTAGACTCACCGGACCTATGCTCGCCCAGGCGCATGCTCGCCCAGTTTTTTTTATTTTTATGATATAAACTCATGAATAAAAATATTATCTGAATCATGTGTTGTTGTTTCTTGATGCTGCAAGTGTCCCAGTTTCTCACCTTGTTTTTGAAGAGTTTATCGGAAGTTGTTATCATAATAAAGCAGACGAAAACGAAAACGGAAGTACAAATGAAAGTCCGTGATGCTAATAAAAACAACGAATTATGTATGACTTTTTAATAAAATCTTAATAAAAATCAACTTAAAATAACAATTAAACATTGTTCTTACTTTTTGAAAAGGTTTAGTCGTTCCGATATATTTCAAACAGTCATAAACAGTCATATTGACACCAGCTGTCATATTGTTTTTCTGTATGCAATTTCAAGGACCGCCACAATAGTTGGCTTTTCCATTAAATCTGTCGTTTTTGATGCATTTATGGTGCCTTTTTTGGTTAGACATTGATATATTAACAACTAAGTAGATAATTAACGAAAACTGCAGCTTTAAATAAAAAAAAATAAATTACATTTTTCCTTTTTTATCAGAAGTTACTAAATATAACCTCTAGGTCTAGTAATTTTTCACCATCCTCTTCAGAGTGATCAGTATGCCCAGGCAACAAAACATTTATGATCTGAGACGTTTGAAAAGGCAAGAAAGCTTTTAAAAGAGGGATATTCTTTACATAGCGCTGCAAATGAGTTAGATATTCCCTACAGTACACTAAAGTCCATTATTAGATGCTGCAGATGAATTGACTGTAGTTAATTATGCAACATATATGGCTTCAAGGGGTGTATCCCTGACAAGACCTGTTCTTAAAAGAATTGCCCTAGAGATTATTTTGCAAAGAGGGGGAGATTCTAGGGTTAATGTTACAACTGGACCTTCTGATAAATGGGTACGGAAGTTTCTTCAGAGGCATCACACTTTATCAGTGCGTATAGCACACCCTCTTGAGCAAAATAGAGTCAGTTTGTCTCAAAGTATTGTTAATGATTATTTTAACTTTCTTGGAAATACTCTGAACGAATTGAATTTAAGTAATGAACCATCCCGGCTATTTGATTGCGATGAATCTGGATTTTCAGGCAAGCTAAATCCAAGCAAAAAGGTTATTGTGCCAAAAGGTACAAGGCATGCATACCAAAGTATGGTAAAAAATCTGGAAACAAACCCTTGTGTAACCCTTTATGGTAAACCTTTCTGGTCATGTTACACTTTTAAATGCAATATCAGCAGCAGGTCAGACCACTCCACCAATGCTTATCTTTTCTAAGTGTCTACCTCGGATGGTCTGTGATGGTATGCCTGATAGCTGGACATTTGTTACAACTGAAAAGAGTTACATAACTACAGATCTATTTGTCCAATGGTTTGAGCATAGTTTTGTACCATATATTGGTGACAAGCGTTCTGTTCTTCTCATACTAGACAATCATGCAACACATGTATCCAAAGTATTTATTGATGCAGCACGTAGACATACTGTATACTTGCTATATCTACCAGCACATTCTTCCCATCTTTTACAACCCCTAGATGCAGGATATTTTCATATTTTGAAGCAAAAAGTTGCTGACATTTTCACCAGCTAGGTTATCTTGGAATCAAAACACTACATAGACATCTTTTCCCAAGGGTGTTAATGCAGGCTTTCAATAAAACTTTAGGCAGAACTGTAGCATCAGCTTTTAAATATACAGGAATATTTCCTTTCAACAAAAATGCTGTTAAGGCTCTTATTCCTGACACAAAACCTAAACAGTCAACACCTGA